GGCTGTTGACTGTCTGGCTCTGAAGCGCCCTATCTGATTGAATGGAGCCCGGACAGCCCTGTGGTTTTCCTCAGAGCTGAGGGCAATGTAAGAATGGCTGAGACCTCTAGAGCACTAGTGGTGTAAAACTCATTCTGAATCGGACCAGACACGGTTTACAGCTCAATGCCAAGCCTACCAAGTGGCAATGTGGCTGCCTCAGGGTTCCATCCTCTCCCCCATGCTTTTCAACATCTATATGAAGTCACTGGGAGAGATCATCTGGGGATTTCGGCTGGCTGTTCATCAGTATGCAGATAATACCCAGCTCTACCTCTTTTACATCAGAACCAGTGAAGGCAGTGAATGTCCTGTATGAGTGTCTGGAGATGGTTGGAGGATGGATTGAGGCTAAATCCTGCCAAGACAGAAGTATTGTTTTGGGGGACTGGGAGCAGGCAGGTGTGGGGGACTCCCTGGTCCTAAATGGGGTAATTGCCCCTCAAGGACTAGGTGCACAGCCTGGGATTCATTTTGGACTCACAGCTGTCCATGGGGATGCAGGTCAATTCTGTGCCCAGGGCAGCTGTTTACCAGCTCCATCTGATATGCAGGCTGAGACCCTACCTGCCCGCAGACTGTCTCGCCAGATTGGTGCATGCTCTGGTTATCTGCCGCTTGGACTACTGCAATGTGCTTTGCGTGGGGCTACCTTTGAAGGTGACCTGGAAAATATAACTAATCCAAAATGTGGCAGCTGGACTGGTGACTGGGAGTTGCCGCCATATAAGACCGGTCCTGAAAGACCTACATTGGCTCCTAGTACATTTCCCTCTGGTGGTCCCTCACTGCGAGAAGTGCAGCTACATGGAACCAGGCAGAGGGCCTTCTCAGTAGTGGCCCTGGCCTGTGGAACACCCTCCCATCAGATGTCAAGGAAATAAACTATTTAATGCTTGATGCTTCTTCACGGATCACTGCCTTGTCATGGCAAAGGGGCTTGAATAACTCAGAGAAGCTATGAGCTATGCCGTGCAGGGCTACCCAAGATGGACAGATCATAGTGGAGAGTTTTGACTGAACGTGATCCACCTGGAGCAGGAACCGGCAAGCCACTCCAGTATCCCTGCCAAGAAAATTCCATGGACAAAGTCAATAAGTATATAAAAGTTATGGCGCTGGAAGATGAGCCCCTCAGGTCGGAAGGCGTCTAACATGCTACTGAGGAAGAGCGGAGGACAAGGACAAGTAGATTCAGAGCTGATGAAGTGGCTGGGCCAAAGCCGAAAGGACGCTCAGTTGCGGATATGCCTGGAAGTGAAAGGAAGTCCAATGCTGTAAAGAAAAATGTAGCATAGGAACCTGGAATTTAAGAACCATGAACCTTGGTAAGCTGGATGTGGTCAAAAACGAGATGAAAAGGGTAAATATTGACATCCTGGGCATCAGTGAACTAAAATGGACGAGACCGGGTGAATTCAGTTCGGATGACCATTGCATCTCCTACTGCGGGCAAGAATCCCATAAAATAATTCCATAAAAGCCCAACAAAAGAGGTGCAAAAGCTGTACTGGGATGCAATCTCAAAAATGATAGAATGATCTCGATACGAATCCAAGGCAGACTTTTTGTTGGGTTTCCTGCTCCATGTCTGCAGTCATGAGATTGTTGTCTATCACATGACGGTGTATGTTTTCATTCCACAGAGTGGGAAGTGATGGAGACAGGATGTTTATGTTGCTTTGTACCATGAAGTAGGACTATTGTCCTTTGTTCCGTCTCATTGCTGTCTGATGAGAAAGAGGATGGAGCTAAGTCAGAATGCTCCGAGTCTATTATATGAAAATAAAGTAGATTAGCCAAAATGGTGAGCTACTGAGTTCTGTTACGCGAACTGTTAATACTCTGCTGTTCCATAAGTGTGCTGATACTTCTTGGCATCAGTTGCTGTGATGTTCAGGCTGAAGAAAGCTTTTGTAGCTCCCGATCAACCAGGAGGGAGACAGCATGCCAGGCAGGCATGTATCTTTATCAAGGTCCTACTCGTGTAGGATGAGCCTAACATTGGTTATGGGCCCAGGGATCAGGGCCCCAGACCCAGTGTCAGTAGAGGAAAGACTGGGGGCTGTTTTTGTCCGGGTTGGAGTTTCTTGGAACCGGCACCGTGAAGCAAGCCTCTTCAGAGACGGAAGAGAAAAAGCAGATAGACTGTGAGCACAGCGGCTGCCGAAAAGTGAAAGTAGGCTGCCTGGAACGTTTGTGCAGCTGCCAAGTCGGTTGAACAGAGAAGCTTTGATTTATGACTGCTTCTGAGTGTTCTTGGCTCCGTTTAATCTCTGGGACAGACACTGAGCAGGAACAGATCCCATTCCCTAAGTTTACGTGGAGGGAACTGGGAGGAAGAAGTCCCATCCCCTGAGTTAGGGAAATGGGGGAAATAAAGGACCAAAGTGGTAAGGACCTAACATAAGCAGAAGACACCAAGAAGAGGTGGCAAGAATACACAGAGGAATTATACCAGAAAGATATGGAGGTCTCGTACACCCCAGGTAGTGTGGTTGCTGACCTTGAGCCAGACATCCTGGAGAGTGAAGTCAAATGGGCCTTAGAAAGCACTGCTAATAACAAGGCCAGTGGAGGTGATGATATTCCCGCTGAACAATTTAAAACTTTAAAATATTATAGTGTTAAGGTGCTACACTCAATATGCCAGCAAGTGTGGAAAACTCAGCAGTGGCCAGAGGATTGGAGAATGTCAGTCTACATCCCAATTCCAAAGAAGGGATGTGTCAAAGAATGCTCCAACTACCGCACAATTGCGCTCATTTCACATGCTAGCAAGGTTATGCTTCAAATTCTACAAGGCAGGCTTAAGCAGTATGTGGACCAAGAACTCCCAGAAGTGCAAGCTGGATTTAGAAGAGGCAGAGGAACCAGAGACCAAATTGCAAACATGCGCTGGATTATGGAGAAAGCTAGAGTTCCAGAAAAACATCGACTTCTGCTTCATTGACTAAGCAAAAGGATTTGACTGTGTTAACCACAGCAAACTATGGCAAGTTCTTAAAGAAATGGGAGTGCCTGATCACCTCATCTGTCTCCTGAAAAATCTCTATGAGGGAAAAGAAGCTACAGTTAGCACTGGATATAAAACAACTAATTGGTTCAAAATTGGGAAAGGAGTACAACAAGGCTGTATATTATCTCCCTGCTTATTTCATTTATATACAGAATTCATCATGCGAAAGGCTGGACTGGATGAATCCCAAGCCGGAATTAAGATTGCCGGAAGAAATATCAACAACCTCAGATATGCAGATGACACAACTTTGATGACAGAAAGAGGAGGGTGCAAAATATGGTCTGAAGCTCAACAACAACAAAATGAAGATCATGGCCACTGGACCGATCACCTACTGGCAAATAGAAGGGGAAGAAATGGAGGCAGTGGGAGATTTTACTTCCTTGGGTTCCATGATCACTGCAGATGGTGACGGCAGTCACGAAATTAAATGACACCTGCTTCTTGGGAGAAAAGCAATGACAAACCTAGTGTCAGGAGTGCGTGCAGGAGCCAGGCCCTGTGACCAGAATGACTTTGCAGGACTGGGGCTTTCCTAAGTTTGTTCTGAAGAGGCAAGGCACAGCCGCACAAGTGAGTAACTCACAGCACCTGGTGGCAGGAACCAGGAAGCGATATAAGGTCAGCATTTCCCTTCGGCTCTTTGCCACAGCAACACGTTTCCTGCCTTGCTGCGTTTGGCTTCTTGCTTCCCGACCCTTGACTTTGTGACTCCCTGCTTCCTGACCCTTGGACCTCTGGCTTCTGGACTCTCGTTCCTGCTCCCACCCTGCCATCTTGCCCCCAGTCTCAACATCCTCAGCCGGGACTTCGGTTGCCCATAGACTGGACCGTGACACCTAGACAGCATCTTAAAAAGCAGGGACATCACCTTGCTGACAAAGGTCCGTATAGTTAAAGCTATGGTTTTATGTATGGAAGTGAGAGCTGGGCCATCAAGAAGCCTGATCGCTGAAGAATGGATGCTTTTGAATTCTGGTGCTGGAAGAGACTCTAGAGAGTCCCATGGACTGCAAGAAGATCAAACTTATCCATTCTGAAGGAAATCAGCCCTGAGTGCTGACTGGAAGGACAGATCCTGAAGCTGAGGCTCCAATACTTTGGCCACCTCATGAGAAGAAAAGACTCCCTGGAAAAGACCCTGATGTTGGGAAAGATGAGCACAAGGAGAAGGAGACAACAGAGGATGAAATGGTGGGACAGTGTTCTCGAAGCTACCAGCATGAGTTTGACCAAACTGCGGGAGGCAGTGGAAGACAGGAATGCCTGGCGTGCTCTGGTCCAGGGGGTCACAAAGAGTCAGACACGACTAAGCAACAACTCTGCTTGATATTTTATCATGTTTTCAATATTCTGTTGGGAGCTGCCCAGTGTGGCTGTGGGACACCAGCCAGATGGGCAGGGTACAAGTAATAAATTATTATTTTTTTAAAAAAATCTTTCAGTAGCACCTTAAAGACCAACTAAGTTTATTCATGCCTGGTATCTGAAGTAGTGTACATGCACACGAAAGCTCATACCAATAACAAACTTAGTTGCCCTTTAAGGTGCTACTGGAAGAATTTGTTTTATTTCGATCATGGCAGACCAACACAGCTACCTACCTGTATCTGTTGTTATTATTATTAGTTCTTTAAACATTCCAAGCACTGTTAGTGTTGGGAGTCATTCTTCAAAGAAACAGTAAGGATGTTTGTACCTTTAAGAACTGTTTCTGTGAGCTTTGGGCAGATTAGTTACTGCTGGTCATGATTAGGAAGGAAAAGTTGCAGTTTGAACTTTGCCTGCAGAAAAACACCCACAAGCTTTGCTGTTTGTTGCTTTGTCATAAATCTTTATGTTGAGACAGTCTTCTGTCATCTGCCACCAGAGGAAAACACCCCTCTAACAGTTATGGTTTCTCTGCTGTATGAAATTGTTGATGGGAGGTGAAACTAACCTTCCATCTGAAGCTCTTTCCGCATTCCAGGCACTGATACGGTTTCTCCCCTGTATGTCTTATTAGATGGGAAGTGAGGCTGTGGCTCTGACTGAAGCTCTTTCCACATTCCAAGCACTGATAGGGTTTCTCCCCAGTATGAATTCTTTGATGGGAAGTAAGACTATCCCTCCGACTGAAGTTCTTTCCACATTCCAAGCACTGATAGGGTTTCTCCCCAGTATGAATTCTTTGATGGGAAATGAGTTTACCCCTCTCACGAAAGCTATTTCCACATTCCTGGCACTGATAGGGTTTTTGACCTGTATGAGTTTTTTGATGGCTCAGGAGATGGGCCCTTTGGGTGAAGCTCTTTCCGCATTCCAAGCATTGATAGGGTTTCTCCCCTGTATGAATTCTTCGATGGGCAGCAAGTATTCCAGTCTCACTAAAGCTCTTTCCACATTCCTGGCAATGATAGGGTTTCTCACCTGTATGAATCCTTTGATGGATGGTGAGGTCGTGGCTGTGAATGAAGCTCTTTCCACATTGGAAGCATTTATATGGTTTCTGACCTGTATGAATTCTTTGATGGGAAGTGAGAGTATTCTTATGAATGAAGCTCTTTCCACATTCGTGGCACTGAAAAGGTTTCTCCCCTGTATGAATTCTTTGATGCGAAGTAAGACTAGTCCTCCAATTGAAGCTCTTTCCGCATTCCAAGCACTGATAGGGTTTCTCCCCTGTATGAATTCTTCGATGGGAAGTGAGAATTCGGCGGTTAATGAAGCTCTTTCCACATTCCAAGCACTGATAGGGTTTCTCCCCTGTATGAATTCTTTGATGGTAAGTGAGACCGTGCCTCTGTCTGAAGCTCTTTCCACATTCCAGGCACTGATAGGGTTTCTCCCCTGTATGATTTATTTGATGGGAAGTGAGACTGTTGCTCTGACTGAAGCTCTTTCCACATTCCAAGCACTGATAAGGCTTCTCCCCTGTATGAATTCTTTGATGGGAAGTGAGCTCTGAGCTCAGTCTGAATCTCTTACCACATTCCAAGCACTGATAGGGTTTCTCCCCTGTATGAATTCTGTGATGGGAAGTGAGCTCTGAGCTCTGTCTGAATCTCTTTCCACATTCCAAGCACTTATAGGGTGTCTCCCCTGTATGAATCCTTTGATGGGTTGTCAGATTGCTCCTCTGACAGAAGCACTTTCCACACTGCAAACACTGATAGGGTTTTTCTCCTGTATGAATTCTTTGATGGGAAATGAGAGAATCCTTCCGACTGAAGCTCTTTCCACATTCCAAGCACTGATGCAATTTCTCTCCACTGTGAGTTCTTTCGTGTGAAGTAAGGCTATGCCTCCGAATGAAGCTGGGTCCTTGATGGGAGGTGCACTGGGAGCTCTGACGGATGTTCTCTCCACACCCTGAATATTTATTTGATTTCTCCGCTGTGTGGATTCTGTTGTGATCCCCTTTGTTCTTCCCTTCCAATTCATCACCATCTGCAATGAAGAGAGAAGCCAATTAGAGCTTCAGGAAGATTATTCCCCAGATTATTGAACGATGTTAATGAATTAAAAAATTCCTTCCAGTAACACCTTAGAGACCAACTAAGTTTGTTATTGGTATGCGCTTTTGTGTGCATGCACACTTTTTCAGATACACTGAAACAGAAGTCACCAGACCCTTATATATAGTGAGAGGGTGGGGAGGGGTATTACTCAGAAGGGTGGTGGGAATGGGTGATTGGCTGATAGGTGTGGTAAATCTGTTGATGACTATTAACGACTGCAATTGGTCTTCCAGGAAAAGCAAGGGGTGAGATGGCTAAAAATAGCTACATATACCATGTATAATGAGATAAGAATCCAATGTCTCTATTCAGACCAGGTCTCTCCATGGTTTTAAGTTTGGTAAGAAGTTGCAATTCAGCAACTTCTTTTTCCAGTCTATTTCTGAAATTCTTTTGTAATAAGACAGCTACTTTGAGATCTTGTTTAGAATGTCCTGGGAGACTGAAGTGTTCTCCTACTGGTTTCTCTGTCTTGTGATTCCTGATATCAGATTTACGTCCATTTATCCTTTGGCGTAGAGCTTGGCCTGTTTGTCCAATATAGAGAGCTGAAGGGCACTGTTGGCATTTGATGGCATACATAATGTTAGAAGATGAGCAATTAAATACAGTGGTGCCCCGCAAGACGGAAAACTCGCTAGACGAAAGAGTTTTCCGTTTTGGAGGTGATTCGCAAAACGAATTTCCTATGGGCTTGCTTCGCAAGACGACAATGTCTTGCGAGTTCCTGCTGGTTTTTTCCCCTCCCCCCCTTTTTCTAAGCCGCTAAGACGCTTATCAGCTGATCCGATCAGCAGATAAGCCGCTAAAAGCCGCTAATAGCCCTAATCTGCTAATCCTTCAATGGGCTTGCTTTGCAAGACAAAAAAACCGCTAGACGAAGAGAATCACAGAACGGATTCTTTTCGTCTTGCGAGGCACCACTGTAGTCCTGAGATGGTATTTTTGATGTTGTTGAGGCCAGTAATTAAGAATGTTAATGAATGCTTGTTGTCAGGGAACTGACATCAGAGCGAGAGGCGAAGGGGAGGCTCTCTGATGATGCGGGAGAAGGACCCAGCAGCAGGGGGAGAAACAGCCCAGTAGAGGGGGAAGCTAATCAGCGCAACACCAGGGATAGAGGGGGGCAGATGTGGGAATCAGAGAGAGGGCTCCAGGATTCTTCACTGGACGTAAGTGAAGAGAGCCCAGGTCCTCCGCTGCCCACGCCCTCCCTGCGCAGGAGGCTCCCGCGCAGTGAGAGGAGGAGGAGACTGGGTGTCAAACAACTTTTATGTTGGAAGAGGTTCAAGAAATGCCCACTGACGGATTCTGGCAGCGATTGAGGTAGCCACGATGAGAAGGGGCTGTGCAGTCAGAAAGGTTTCACAAGGCAAATTAGCCTAGAGAGGCACCAGTTTACGCACGAGTAACTCATACCCACTACACTTGTGATAGAGGAAGAACTGAAAATAATTAGTTATGAGGCCTTACTATTATTTTTACTACCTTTGTTGGCTGATATTTGCTGATATATTACTTGGCTTTTATCTGGGATAGATAATGTTTGGCTCAGTCATGGAATTATCTTCATCTCCAAGGTCAGTCATCTCTTTGGTCAATAAAATGCAGACAAAAGCAAAAACAAAAACAACAAACCTGACAGAACTTACTTCTACTACCCTAAAAAATCTGAAGATGACATTTAAAAAGGCCTGGGTAGTTCAAAAAAGCCTGGTCATTGCTTAAAAAAGCTTGACGAAATGAAGAATATTCACAGAGAAAACAGTTGATATCCCTCCATTCAGGATTCACGGTGAGGATCTTGGAATCCCAGATGATGATGATGATGATGATGATAAATTTTTATTTGTATCCCGCCCTTCCCGACCAAAGCCACGGTCAGAGCGGCTAACAACAGGTAAAAAAATCATAAAATCACGCAGTCAATTAATTAAAATACATTTTAGAATTAATTCAGAATCATATTAATAGCAACCACCAGGTTAGAGTTCTATGAAGATTACAGAAGGAGAGAGGGGGTCAGACTGTGCCCTGGCCAAAGGCCTGGTGGAACAGCTCTGTCTTGCAGGCCCTGAGGAAAGATGTCAAGTCCCGCAGGGCCCTAGTCTCTTGTGACAGAGCATTCCACCAGATTGGAGCCACTGCTAAAAAAGCCCTGGCTCTGGTTGAGGCCAGCCTAACCTCCCTGTGGCCCGGGACCTCCAATATGTTTTTGTTTGAAGACCGTAAGGTCCTCCGTGGGACATACCAGGAGAGGCGGTCTCATAGGTACGAGGGTCCTAGGCTGTATAGGGCTTTAAAGGTTAAAACCCGCCCCTTAAACCTGACCCTGTACTCCAGCGGGAGCTAGTGCAGCTGGTATAGCACTGGGTGAATGTGATCCTGCTGTGAGGACCCCGTAAGGAGTCTGTCACGGGGCTGCCAGGGAATGCCCCAGAGCTGAGGGAGGGGGAAGAACAAGGGCCGTTAGAAAAGACAGGAGAGGGAGAGGAGGACAAGTAACCGGAAGGAACTCAAGCGGCGAGGATGCTCCCGGATGCTGGAGACCATCAACACCACTCGACCAGTTCAGAGGGAGGACAGAGAGAGAGTCAATGTCCACTCCTTCAGCACAGGACAGAAGGGGGTTAAAATGTAGGGAACAAAGGAGGCGCTTGGGGCTTCCCAAGCTCCTCTGCTGGAGGAGGAGCCAAAAACTCCCACTTCCTGGATCTGCTACCAAGGATTCAGATGCATGAATCTTGTATCTTGTAAATATGTATGTAAATAAAGACTGTAAATATATCTCTGAGTGAGCAGAGGTATTTCTTGCGAAAGGCTTCCAGACCCACCACAGAGTCCTGCCACGGCATTCTGTACCTGCTGGAGTTTCTGGGTCAGTCTCAAGGGCATCCCCACGTAGAGTGAGTTACAATAATCAAGCCTGGAGGTGACTGTCGCGTGGATCACAGTAGCTAGGTCAGGGCGAGAGAAGTAAGGAGCCAAACTGCTCAGCTTTTCATCTCCATCCAAAAAGCGAAGGTTCATCACACAGAGCAGGGCTCAGGAAGGTTTACCTTGCCTGGGTCGGTTCAGCCCTGCGAAGATCCCGCCATGGTCTGGATCGCTCATGTGTCTGCGTCTGGTTTCCGGCACCACGGAAGCGAGTCCCCGCCCTGGACTGGTTTAGTGCAGCAGGCGGGGACTCGGCTGAGCGGGCAGCTTGGTTCGGGGGTGGCTTGTGGCCCACTTAAATGACCCCCATGGGCCGCAGGTTGCCGACCCCTGACAGAGGTATGTATGGAATTTCAAAACTGATTTTATGATCCAACAGGGAGTTTTACTGAGAGGGTCCATGATCCTACGATTCTCCTCCTTTACTTCCTTATGCAGAGCTCTTTGGACAGGATCCATGCCCTTTGTCTGTGAAAACTACACGCCATCAGCAGTTGCCTCACTCTGATTGGTCTAAATTTAAATTTATACGCAAATCACTTCTTCAGTTTGAACCCCCCTCCCGTGTTCATGAGGAAACCAACTCTGTATTGTTTCATTGGTAACAGAAGAGGAAAAGTGACTATAACTCACACTTTATCTAAGCACAACAGCCGCAAGAGCTCCTGACTAGGCATTCAGCTATGCAATGTGAATGCTCTCTGTTCTCTCCTGTTTCCTCATTTTTTGTTCCAGTTTAAAACATTTCATGAACCCAGAACTCACACACTGACCACTAACGATGAATTGTATGCTATAGATATTCCTGCAAATAGATTCTGCTAGTTTTGAGATATACAAATGCATGAGAAGACTCGGTCTACATCAAGGGTCGGCAAGCTTTACCTCGCCTGGGCTGGCTCACTCTCACGGAGATCGCTCTGTGGGCAGGATCACGTGTGTACACACAGGACTCACCGAACGGACGGCTCAGGGGCAGCTGAAATGACCCCCATGAGTCGCTTGTGGCCCATGAGCCATAGATTGCTGACCCCCGGTCTACATATTTCATCATTTAGTGGTCCTATGATCCTTGTTTTTAAAAGCAAAAAAAGTTATTCCAAAAAGAAAAGAAAAAGGCAACACACGGAGGATGCAGGATTAGGATTCAGTTCCAGAAATTTGTGTACAGAAGTCTGATCCATGGAAAATGTGTAAAAGGAAGTAACCTTAAACCCTAAACAGCATACAGCCTATAACTTTAGACCGTATTCAAGTTAATAGAAAAAAACAACAGCACTCTTTGTTCCATTTCTGTGGAAGAATAAGAACCAAAATTTCTTGTTGAAAAGTTTGTTTGCAACCTGTTTTCCCAAAGAAAACCCACTGTCGCTCATGATTTATACTCCATTGGGGGAAATCAAAATTAGAAACAGAACTGTTAGAACCTAAAACTAAGACTTGTCAAGGATGTATAACTTGCTGCTGAAATGGAATACTCAGGATGAAACGGTGAATCTGCTATGATTAAATGGGCACAAGATGTTGGACATAACATTATGTTTGCTGACTGGGAACAGTTGTGGACCACAGGTATGAAATTTACGGCATGTAATGCCCTAAGAGAGAATATTATGAAAATGATATACAGGTGGTACATGACACCAGTCAAGCTTGCAAAAATCTATCATTTGCCCGATAATAAATGTTGGAAATGTAAGGAAACTGAAGGTACATTCTTTCACCTTTGGTGGACGTGCCCAAGGATTAAGGCTTTCTGGGAGATGATTTATAATGAAATGGAAAAAGTATTTAA